AAATCAAGCACAATAAAAGGTGAGTTTTCATATGTATAATAATATTTACTAGCTCATACTGAAACACTGAGACCAACAGTCATCGCTTTACTGAGAAAAATTTCAAGTAAAACCTCTGGGATCAGGGTTCTCACATAACCTGTATAACATGACCTGTAGGATTTGCAGTTTATGATCTCTGTATGTTAGCACACCAACGTTCTTTGAAGTGTGTTTCACACTCTCCATATAAGAGAGTGAAAATTGTATAAATCTGCCTGTGTGAGGGAGTTACATGGAGTGCTCACGAGCATGAAGTTTAAATTGACATTTTACTCTAATATTATATTTTTTGTGGTGTTGAAGTTCCAGAAGGACTGTTCATGGCATTGTTCATTTTGTCGGCGAAGTAAGTAAATATTGCAAGTGCATGTCAAACAATGGAAGATGTAGAGGTGAGATATAAATATCTAGGATCTACAATATATTATTAGAATAGTAGGTTGCCTAGTGACAGGGATTTTGTGTCAAAGATAAAGAGTTTGTTTGTGAACTGAGCGCCAGGGTAAATAAGATTAGACTCAAACTCTCGGTTTTTACATTGGGATTCGACTACCAACAAATGGCAGCAATTTTTGAGTTAAAGCAGGTTTGATTGTTGATCATATATAGCTGGATTAAGTAATGTTGTACATAACACTCAAATTGCTTGGAGAAATTTATATTATTTAATATAAACTTTTCAAGTATTTACGAAACCAGTGAATAGCAATGTTTTAACGTATTTTGATTGGCTCCCATAACTCAGAATATCCTTGGCTATTCACTGTTTTGCTACCAGAGCCAACATGGCGCCTCGTTTCTAGACATTTATTTCAGGGATAAATGAAGCAGTCATACAATTGTCAATTAAAACGTAAACTCTTAACTGAGTGACGTGTTTTATTTGCAAAAAGATATTTTTGTTATTTTTATCCAACTGATTTGGTAGATACTAAAACAACTATCCCCCTTAGGAGCAGTTCATGGCGCTAGATATATACCTCGACGATTCGCGTCTTGGTATATATTTCCACCACTATTCACCTCCCCTTCGGGGGATAGTTGTATAGTATTTTGTCGAGGCCACCTGTGGTTAGGAAGATAAGGTATCTCAATTCTGAAAACACAAAGTGTTCATATGCCTCTTTGTTTGACAATACTCAATTTGACATAGTGTAAAATGATCGATAATACTATAGCTGTTTTGCTAGAGGTCGTGGCCTTCACAGTCATAAGTGTTCTCACAATTCCATATACAGTTGTAGAAGTTCATACCCATGAGTCATTATTTTGGTAAACTGATTTTAAGACACTAGGACATTCTTCTAAGGCATTTACCTTACATGATTTTTTTTAACTCAAACTTATTTCACAGGCCAACTCGTTCTTACAGCATATGTCAAAAAAGGATTTGGAGGGGCAATGGTCTTTCCCTTCAAGTGTTGTGGTTGCTGGACTGTTGAGATTGATTATAAGAGTAGTTACCTTACCCAAGAATCCAGACGACAGTTAGTGTCCTTGGCCATCTCGTTAGCCTTTTTATTGGTGGGCATGGTTATGCTGGGTACAGAAAGACCTTAGGAAGAGGATTAGGATAGGGAATCGTTTCAGAGAAGCCTCTCTTAGAAGTTTGTTCATTTGTGATGAGGAACTCTGGCAGGGGACAGCCCAGTCAGCTGAGGGGCATCTCAGTGGAGTGCTATGGGCCAAAGCCAAAGAAGAGGGGCTAAAAGTGGAAGTCAACCGGCTGGATGCTGACTCTTCCTCAGCCAAGGGGTTTCGCCAGTCATACTCAAATGAACAAGAGAGTAGAATTATGTTGTGTGGGGGCCATGTTGGAAGGGCCCATGGGAAGAAGCTTGAGGAGCTTAAAACAAAGTCATCATTTTCATCTGCTTTTATTGCCTTACACAAAAGATAATTTCCTTCAATTGAATCTGTCAAATGTTGTTGTGTTGGCAAAAATCATACATTTGTTGCCGCTAGAAACAAACCTGTATGCGGGTGTATTGGTCCGGGTTTCATCCAAAATGCAAAGCAAAACCACTACTGTGCCCTGGTCCATGCTGGAAACAGCCCAGATAAATACAGACAAACTATTTTGGCCCTTGGAAAGTACCACTGTAGAGAGATATTCATGAATCACAGGGGGGTTCCTGCAGCTTTCATCCACTCACTAAATGTAGCTGTAAAAAGTGGAAGCCGACGTTGATGGATTTTATGCAGAACTCAAATGTTCCTGTGAGGAATATTCTGTGATGTGAATTTCATACGCTGGCATATGAAATAGAATGCAGTGAGAGAGCCAAAGATGCTGACCTAGACTTGGGAAAAGGGCATTCAAATCTCCCTGAGTCGACATTTAGTGTTCTCACTAAATTCCGTGCCAAGGATACTAACCTGCACAAGAAGCATTACCATGCAGCAACAAACTTAGGATTACTCCAGGCCAACATGACTTGGTGCTACAAAAACAGAGGACCGGAGTACCATTGGATCCCTGACCTCTATTCATGAATGGGTCTTCCAATCCTTGATGGCATTCAAGAAATGGTATGCCTAGTTCTATCTACTTCCTATGTGATTTTTTATACGTGCTACATTACAACTATTTATGAAATAACTAAGATAGAACGCGTGTTCTGATTTATGATGCTGTCGAGTCAACACTGTAGTTGACACTTACCAATCTGCGGTGCACAACAGGGACTCAATTGACGCGTACGTGACTGACTTACATAACAAGGCAGCAAGATGTGAATTCGGAGTTTTGAAGGATGTATTGATTTGTGATCGGATTGTTTGTGGCATAAATGATGACAGTGCAAGCCCGACTTCTAAGAGAAGCAGAACTGACCTTGGAGGCCTGCCTTGATATTTGACAGGTGGCTGACATAAGTTCTGATAGATTGTGGGTAGCCTCCGTCCATCAAGCTTTTTTTTTTTTTAAATTTGAATTGTTTTCCTCAAAGGTTGTTTCTGAGGAGTTTTCTTCGTAGGATTCTTAAGGCTTCTCCTTTGGAAAATTCCTTTTTTAACATTTGGAGGGTGACACGAGGTTAAATGTGTGTGCAAGAAGCTTTCCGTTTGTTTAAAATGTGTCTTTGCATCAAGGATAAATTTTTCCTTGAATCTTGTGCCTTTGTATACAACCGTGTCTAAAAACGCAGTCTCAGTGTCAAATGTTTCGGCCGTGAATTCATTAGTTGGGTGATGTAAGCTTGCTTGTTCAATGAAGGCTTCGATGTCTGGTTTACTCATGTCCCATAGGGAAAAGATATCGTGTATGTGGCATTTCCAAACTGTTGTTCTAAAGACAGTTTTGCTTAGAGTTGTTGTTTCAATATATGTCATGAAAACATTTGCAAACGAATCAAAACTGCTGTCTTTGTGCCCATTGCAGTTCCATGGTTTTGTAGGTAGTGCTTTCCACTGAAGTGGAAGAAATTTTCTTTGAGGATTAATCTAAGCATTTCCGGCAAGTAATGTGTAGGAATGGGTTGTCTTTGTTGAAATTTTCATATGCTTTGTGACAGAAAATTTCAATATACCCTCGTTTGCTGTATATTTGTGTCAAGACTCATATTTAAACGACCATTGAAACAAGAAATGTTCTGTTTTTCACATTCGTCTTTTCAGTGAAAGGTATGATTTCTGTGATTTTGATATTGGTTCTAGCAGTGTATCAACAAATTTTGTCAAGCACAGAACAAGGTTTTATTGGATTATTAAGAGGAAACCGAACATCCATGTTTTAACTAGGGGGTGGATCGTGCAATTTCCAACCTTGCTTAAGGGGTGGGTCAGTCATTTTTGTGCCAAAGGGAGGGGGTGGGTCATGTGTTTTTTTTATCAATCACATTTCCAAATGCTCCGGCCCACCCCCCCCCCTATACTTTTTGACCAGTCCCTAATGGCGAAAACTGTCCCGTCCCTTGGAGACTGGCGATTTTGGTGATATCCAGGAATGTGGCAAATATTCAAATTGGATGCCAAAAGTGGCCCCTTAAAATTAGATAACTAAAGCCATCCCTATAACTGCGAGGCAACAGTACTAAAAAAAAAGGACCTAATAAGAGGCCCTAAAAACTGTGAGGAAACCTTTCTCAAATACAACTGAATCATATATATCAGAAAACGGCTTTACATATCTGTGAGGCAACATTTATCAAATGCAACTGAATCAAATATACCTGAAAACAATGAATGGAAGTCGTTTCAGTTAAGCTTATGTTATTTGTGCCATGTACTTCATAGATTAAGTAAACGTCTTATTATTACTTTTGATGTCGCTTGACTTACCAAAAAGTCAAAGTTAAAGTCATGCACTGAAATATCACCCTAGCATCATTGGCTTTTGTACGCTTTATTCCTTTCAAAGTCTTACAAAAGGAAAAGAGTGTTCGTTCAAGCCAACCAAACCAAATCTCATGCCCCACAGCTAGTCCACTAATTACCCGAGAAGACAACCTCCAAGTCCTTGAAATGATAATAATTCCTTCCCATGGACACTCTTGACACTTTTGAGGTTCCATGTACAGCTGAACAATCCTTACTGGGAGCAATTCTTTTGGTTCCATTGAATTGTAAGGCAGCCTTACATCAAAACCGACTGCAAAACTCATGGTTCCTTGCTAAAACATGCTTTCACAATAACCAGTATGTGCCCTTCAACCTTTTTTGGTTCTCCACTGTACATTATTTTTTTTCCGTCGTTTTAGACTCTTCACTTTCCCTGCATAATTACTTGTTTCCCTCTTTAGAGAAACGGACTTCTAAAAGTAACAAAAGCCGAAATGTCCAGCAGCTTGCGTGCGCTATTTTGAAATGCGTGAATTCGCTCATTTCATTTTATGTAAACCTCCACGAAATGTCACTTGTGCCTAGTACTTCAGCGCATTTATTAAAATGTAAACATAAACATTGGATCCAAATATTACATGTTTGTCTCCTTCATAAAAGATGTCCCATTCAAACTAATTCCGTATCTTTTCATCAACCAAATATATGAAAAAAGATAGTGTACATCTTTGTCTCGTTCTTAAAACAAATGTCGTATTATTGCTATATGAGGTGGGAACAGAAATTTGGAAAATTTATTGCTTTTTCCACTAAAACAACCATTCACAATTCCCAGTACAATATGAGTTCCACTAAATTGTGAGCCAAAGATTATCCGCATGTGGCCAACGGTTTCCTAACCCTAAAAACAATAGTCCGGAGTGAGTCAAGTCTAAGTTTTACACTGCCCCTTAAGAAATAACCTACTTCACAACTTCAGCTATTTCAGTTATCTCATACCCTTGACATTGACAATGCACCATTCTGTGACATTGAAACAAAACACAGAGACATTGGAAACTTGAGCTATTTTACACTTTCAACATGTAACTTTTCAACTGACAAGAATCAAGAATTGCCATCTGCAAAACGCGCAAAACTCGGGGAAGGAACATCAGCAATACCCACAAATTAATATTGCTCCCATAGCCGGATAAAAATGAAATGCTTTTTCTTAGTAGATCATTTTTATAATGCTTGATGCATTTATTTACACAGTAACTAACACTTTAGTTTCCTAAGTGAGTTTCATTTCTATATTCATAAAGCAGTTCCAGATTTAAACAAACCTTATTGCAAAATTTTCATTCAACATTGGAATGCCATAGATAACTGCAAACATTGGGAAAAAAAGTTTCCCTATAAGTTTTGTTAAAATTCTAGGAGTTAAAACACCAGTTTAGCTATCATATTCACTTATAAACAAAACTCCAAAAGTACTCTAATTATGCTTTACACATTGTAACTATAAATTATAAACTACTTTTACGTTAAAGATATTAAGAATTCTAAATAGGTGTATATTGACATTTCCAATGGGATTGTCATAGTTGGATTTTCATAGCTGTAGATCAACCATCAGATTAGGAGGGGGAAGAGGACATCATTCAGACAGAAATAAGGCAGGCGGCCCATAATGAACAGAAATTATTTGCAGCCTTTCAAATGGTACTCCTTAAGATCAGAAGTTACCATTGTGAGTTTGTCTTCAATACCCAGAATCCAATCAAGAAGAATAAGTCGTCTTTCTAATTTATCCCCAGTTACCCTTCTTTAAATGTTAAGAATCAAAAAGCAAATCCTTAATTGACTTAAAAACCATCATAGAACAATACCAACAAAATACCAGTAAAATGGCGTCAGCTGTTGAGAGATTAAAGCTTCCAGATTTTATAATATCAGAAAACGAATAACTTTTACCGTAATGATTTCATCTAGTGCCCGGGGTGGTTATTTACTTTTATTACCTCAAGGGAATGCCCTTATTCGAGAAAAGGTACTACTTAATCGGAACATGGCCCTTTTTACTCAGAAACTGTAACAGTAACAAATATGCCATAAATGTTATCAATTAACGTGGGAAACTCGACTGAAACCACAATTTTTGTAATGAGGCATTACCGTTCGTTGTGAGTTTAAGTACTGATAAATGTTGGTTTCTTAGCAAAAGACTGGGTTGACCGACCCATCATCTTGTAAGACACTAACTGTTTTGTATTGATGGTCAGCGTTCAGTGATGATGATGGCCATATCTTTTGACGCTGGCAAGTTTTAATGGATAACAAAGCTATAAAGTCAGTCTTGTAAAAGGGACACAACTAGTTTTACTATGATGTGCAGTCCGCCATACTTCTTGGGTCAGAACCTGATTTGACAGGACAACATTTAGAGCTTTCTAGCAAGATCTTACCAAATTTTCCCTACTCCCCCATGTGGATTGCACCAGGAGGATTGAACATCCCCTGAATTCTTTCTTGACTCAGTGTACTTGCAATTTTGCCTTGATTCCAATTATCAAGATGTTCTTGTATTTCAAGGTTTGACCCAACAAAGTTTGTGCCGTTGTATGAGCAGATAACAGTTGGTTTATGTCTTAAACACTATTTGGAAGTTTCTGTGTACTACTTCCTTAACCATCTGTTCCTCACGTGCTGAGGGTCTCCATGAGGACATCAGTCTTACGTCCACTTTTGCGTTGGAATAAAGAAGGCGAAGGTCTCGACGAACTCTTTAAGAGGTTCAAAGAAATCCAACTCAGGTTTAGAAAATGGGGGTGCAGCTTGTAGGTGGTCAGCTGGTTGGCCTGCCATTAAAGGAGGTTCTGGGTTTTCTTTATTTAAACATAACATATTGACGAAGTTTGCCCTAAGAGTAACAAAAAAACTCACTTCGAAATATAAATAACTTTAACAAACACTATTAACGATCTTAAAATATAAGAACACACTTTATGAATGGCTCTTCTAGCTTTGATATCTTCCCACGCAATTTCTTGCATAAGACGATGCTTGCTGTTCCCCTCCATAACCTTGGTGAGAAGAAACTTCTATGTAGACCACCTTTTGAAGTCTGTGGAGGATGACCTACAAGCAAGTTGCTTAGTCCATTAGTTACATCAGCAAGTCTCCAAAGGTGGTTTCTGTTTAACATAATGGATCTCCAATTTAGGTAATGTTATTGAGTCAGTTCCTGTGCCCAAGAGAGCTGCCGGATCCGTCAAAGAGCTTGATCTTGAACATCTGCCGAAGAGCATGCCCTTGGCATTCAGTGGGCTGTTCAGTCTGACACGTACAGTTAATACCCACGTAAAAGAACCTGGATTTCTTAATTTACCCTAAACAGGTTCTTATATATATCCCCAGTAAAAATATTTTGTGATCACCGTGTGATCACAAATCACTCCTTTCACCATGATCACAGCTATGAGAAGGCATGATGAGAGTGATCACACCTGTGATCACGCCTAAGACTGTCATCACGCCGTGATCACTATTACCAAAAATGTTATGTCTTAGAATTGTCCACATCGGTAAAGAGGAAAAACTGCTATGAGAACCCAAACCTTCAGAAAAACCAACAAAATTGTACGAATTAAGCATTAGCTTTCATCTTCGGGGACGATTTCAACTTATACTGTCTACTGACCTCAGCCGCTAATACGCACAACGACTTAATTTTTTTATTGAACTCATTTCTGCAATTTCCGATAGTGTTTTGCACATACATTGTAATCACTGAACGTAACTACAGACAGGAGGCTTTTAATACTTAGGGCGAATCAATCTGTCTAAAAAAAAAACTGATGAAGTGACATTGTGCCTTGCCGCTAACGCAAACCAAATTACCTGGAGATAATGAATGAGTTTCTAGTGGACTAGGCTTGTTACTGCAGAACTTAAGTTAATCAGACTTGAAAAAAACTACGAAATTATAATAAATAATACGGCTGAATTGTTTTTAACTCATTTTCATTCTGCACCTTAAAAAATAACTTGATACATTTATTTTAGTTATTTGATCATTTCATGATCAATCGATCGCAACATTTACATTCCACAAATCTAAAATGTCGACGGTCTTTGCTCATGACTTATTTAGTAGTGTTTTAGTTATATTGAATTATATTCGGGAAATGAGAGATAATCCAAACATTTGTTAAAATATCAATAAACATGCATTTGCATCTGATTTGCTCCACAGATATGAGAGTCCTTCCAAAGCGCGGCTTAATGTAAACAAGATGTTGAACAAAGCATTTGTTGTGATATTTTTCTAAGACGCCACAAACACTATTTTTATCTTGCTCGCTGACAATCGAAGATTGTACATTTTCATCACAGTCACACGCATAAAAAGGATAATTGTTCAGAGCTTTTCTCTAATGCATTGCATATACAAATTCCTCTTTCATTTAGCTTTAAAAAGAGTTTTGCCCTTCCATAATAAACAGTGCCGTTTTTATCGGTATATTCAACTACAGTTGAATTCATCTTATGAGTTTTTGCACTCAGGGAATAAAATTTCTGACCGTCATTGCTTTCAAATCTACGATAAGGTTCAATTTCATAGTCTACTGGCAAGTTATTTGTCGTGACATAAAGTCTCACCAAAGTCCGTATGTTGTTATCCACTAGACGTCTTGCATCTTTGCCGCATAAGAAGCCCCCATTTACTCTGGCAAAAGTTCTACTACTTCTTGCATAGCCAGACAGACTTTGCAACAAACGCTTGCTGTTTCTAGAAATATCACGTTTTTGAAGCACAGTTTTGGTGTAATTAGCCAAGCCAAAACATAGCCCAGTCGCACATCCGATTTGCTCCATAGCATGATGAGTTCCATTTACAAGAGGTTTAATGAAGGGGTTCATACTTTCAAAAGCAAAGCAGCTATAAGCCCACAGCGGTCCACTTCGTCACACGCAATAAGCAAGGTGTTGCAAAAGGTGGATATTCATTGTACATTGCATCGGCCCATATAATATTCCCATTAAAAGAACAAAATCCTGAAGCATACTATCAGCATGTCTCAGATCTTCGTGGGATATTGAGTCGGAACACAAAATTCCTATTGCGCCTACAAGCGAAGACCAGTGAAAAGCATACAGTGCATTTAATTTGTTTCTCAAACCTGCCTGCGAATAGTGAAATAGCCAGTTCTTCAGTTCTGTGGCTTTCCAGTGTTTCAGATCTTCTAATGATCTGGGCAATCTTCCGACAATGTCTGGCGGCTTAATCAATAGAAGTTGGTGTGAGATGGATGCCTTCTTTGCTCCTAGATAAAAGGGTTTGTCTCTGTTTCTATCTGACATTTGAAGCTGCATAATATACTAAACAACTCCGAGACAAACACTATGCATCCAATCGATTGCAAACGATCGAATCAGATCAAAAGGATACAACAGTTTTGCGAAGATGGAGTGCCCTTTCACTCCCATCACTGCTTTCCTCTCAGTGGCGGCGGTGTACAAAACTGGGACGGGGACAAGGGGACAGGGACATTGGGACGTGTGTATGGGGACTTGAGACTCGGGGACGCGAGATAAGGGTTTTGGGGACATCAAGTATGGGACGTGGGGGCGTTAAGACAGGGACGCGGGACATCAAATACAGGGATACGGGGGACACGGGATGTGAATGATTATTGCGATAAATGCGATTTCAGTCACTTTCCTCGTGAATATGTTTGGGTTCCTCCATGCCTGTTTACAAAGCAGACTCGGCGAAGACCCCCCGTATTGAAGAAAGTGAAACCACTGTCTTGGTCCTCCTGCTGATGGAATATTGGAGCCCTAAGCAGGGTAGGGTGGGTTGTGGTCGCCAAAATTGATATAGAATAACAGCATTCCATTCCAAATAAATAAAAAAAGGAACTTAAATTAAGTAGCATAAGCCAGCTTCGAACCCCAAAGCTCCAAAATCCATCACCTTTACCACTACACCAAGGTGGGTTCAACAATTGTAACAATATTTATTTTGTTTTACATATTTTTAGCGGCAAATGTAACAGTAATTGCCCGCCAACAGTACTTGAGGGTTGATTTCCACTGACGCATTTTTGGCTATGCACCTTAACACAGTCACGTGAATTTTAATCACATAAATAAAATAGAGGCAAGACATGAAGTGTCGAGATTAAACCTGAAGTTGAGCGAAGTTCTACTTTTACGCTTACGTGCGACCTTCCATACATTGCCTCTATTTTATTTGCGTGCGTAAATTTTGCGTATACGTACGCACAGAAAAATTACGCGACACAGGAAATCAACCCCAACCCTAATCACGATAGTTAATGCCAGGAAATATTTTGTGTAAACATCACAAGGTGTCCAACGTGGTTCTGGACGATGGAATCTAATGTTGACCATAAATAACAAATTTTCACGAAGAAAGAGACGTCACATTTTACCTCCGATTTTTGCAATATTTATTGACGTCCCCACGTCCCTGTATTTGATGTCCAACGTCCCTTCGTCCCATACTTGATGTCCCCAAGGCCCTCGTTTCACGTCCTCGAGTCACAAGTCCCCACACATGCATCCCAATGTCCCCGTCCCACTTTTATACACAGCCCTGAGTGGCCTTTGACGCGTATGTCAACTGATTTTCATGAGTCCTTTTCTCAAGGTTTTGTTGAAAAGGCCAGCATCTGTGGATGTTGTTGGGTCCATAACCTTCTCCTTCTGACTTGCAAAGGTGGCAAGCACATTTGCTGTTCAAACGTTTCATGTTCATCAAGTCTGCCCTGGCCGGCAAATCAGCTGTTGCCACGAAAAGCATGCATCGAACATTCATATTTCCATGTGCACTGTCTCGTACATGAATTCCGCGATCATTTAAGGAATTGAGCTTCTTGATGAGCGGATTAAAAAAATTAAAGTTAGCATATTTGGGTCCTGTTAGTCACAATAAATGTATGCAGGAATGAGAAACTTTCTTTTGAATCTTTTATCTTCTCTTCGAAATGCAAATCTTAAAACCTTGACAGAGCCGCTCCTTTGTAACTGTCATTTGGGCATCGATCTTTGACTTGCTGTAAACAATTTGAGCAGTAATTAATCTTTGTTGGTTCCTTGGATCCAAAATATTCCTTCATGAACAGTTTCATTCTATAAACTGAATGACACGTTCTTTGACACCGGTCTCTGAGAAGAACTGTTAGTAATCAAAGTAGATCTGCCCAGGCTGCCTTACTCAAGTTGTGCTTGGGAACAAAACTATGGCGTACATTTGCGGACAAAAATAATTGAAAATAAAAGACAATCTGAAGTTCAAAAATTAGACTATCCATGTCGAAATCTCATCATATGAATTTGAAATCGCAATGAGCGTAGTCGAAATAGCATCATTCGAACTTGAAGTTACTTTGAACAAGTTGAAACTATAAAGGGAAAACTCGACATCGCGGAACAACTTCAAGTTTAGTGGTAAGGTTGATTTTACGTTTAATGTACTAAACTTGATCAATTCACCTTCTCCACTCTAATAAGCCACTTAATCGTCAACAATCCACAAAATTCCAAATGAAACCTTTAATTTGAACTTAAAGTCACGTCACATATTCAAATTCGAAAAACCAAAATTTCAATTCCAACGGAAGCGGAGGTAAAAATACACAGAAACTGGAAATGATAAGAGTTTCGCTACACTGTACATACAGGATGTTTGCATAACTGCATTTTGGCGCAAAAAGATTTCCCTTCACTCGAACTCTCTGGTCAATATGGCGGACAATGTGAATGATAAGGGTGACTCTAGGACAATCCAACAGATTGTGAAGGCTGTAGTGGCAAACTTAAACTTTATAAAAGGAGAAGCGTTAAGGCTTCTGAGAACAAATTCCTCTGAATTTACTTTTGAGGAAAACATGAGTAATTTCAAAACACGCCTGCATAATAGAGATTAACCCAGCTAGAATTGTAGAAAAACACCTTTCAGAGATTAAATTCTCTGATAGAGAAATGTCGCTAGCGCAGAAAACAAAACTGCACCTAAGAAAATACTGCCCTTTGTAACACAATACCATCTGGCATTGCATAACCTAAAGGAAACACTCATGGGGAAATGGCAATTATATAGAAAATCAACCGCAACTGAGAGAAATCTTTAAGGAGCCCCCCATCATCTCATATCGTAAGGGAAAATCCCTTAAGGACATCCCAGTTAAAGCTAAGCTATGAAGGCTTTTCTTCATCCGCGAACTGCAGGAGTCGTGTAGGCTTGTCAACACTGTTAGCAAAGTTGACAAAGTTTTCTCGTGAGCATCAAGTCGACGAAATAAAAATTCAGAATTATCATATGATGCTGAGTTTAGATTACTTTCTGATGCTTCTAACAGTCTAACCAGTCCAACGAAAAAATCCTCGTTGTTCGGTAGCCATCAAGCAGCCATGACGATGATCACATCAGAGATGAGGAAAGCTCAGGTTCCAAGCTTCCCTTCTGTAGTCTCGTACCTAGTTGTTACACTGTTCCTGTGTATTTTTACTTCCGCTTCCTTTGGAATTGAAATTTTGGTTTTTCGAATTCGAATGTGTGATGTGACTTTAAGTCCCAGGGAGGGGGGTACTACCGCTAATTTTGGATAGGGGTGTGCCGCGAAGGTTCGTGAACCCTAACCCTATTTAAGGACTAAGAAAGCGAAAACTGATACCTTTTTAAGGCCCAAAGCCTAAAAATGACACCTTATTCAAGGAAAAAACAAAATTATTAATAGCATGAAAAGGAAAACTTTATTTCTTCTCTGTAACATTGGATGTATAGTATCAAGCATAAAATACTAGAATAAGCCTAGTTTAATAATATGCAATCATAGCCGGCGGGCGTTTTTACACTCCAGTATTAGATAATACAATTAAGCTACCCTACCTAAGGACCACAGCAGGGACACAGAAACAAAAGGGTCAAAAAAAATACCCTATTTAAGGACCTAGAACGTCAAACCCCCCCTCCCCCCCAGGCTTTAAGTTCAAATTAAAGGTTTCATTTGGAATTTTGGGAAGATTATGGTTGCATTGTTGACGATTAAGTGGCTTATTAGAGTGGAGAAGGTGAATTGAAGTTCAAATCATGTAATTTGCATTTTAGTTGGGATGGCGATTTGAACTTCAACATCCACGATGTCGAGTTTTCCCTTTGTAGTTTCAACTTGTTCAAAGCAACTTCAAGTTCAAATGATGCTATTTCGACTGCGTTCATTGCGATTTCAAATTCATATGACGAGATTTCAACATGGATAGTCTAATTTTGAACTTCAAATTGTCTTTTATTTTCAATTATTTTTGTCCGCAAATGTACGCCATACAAAACTAACAATTGAGACAAACGACAGGATTTTTTATATTTTGCTACCTTGATATAGCGCTTCCTCTTGTGATTGCGAGGTTTCATTTTCCTGTTGTAAATTCACCTCTTCGGACTCTTCAAAGTCTTCACTTTCAGGAGATCAAGACAAGTCGCCTACACTTAACCAAGATGATTCCTCACTTTCATCCGTAGAAAGTGTGGCATCGAGGGTAGTGTCATCATCTTCTGAGCCGTGATGAAGAGAACCTCCATTGCATGCATTTGTCCCAAATTCTAGAGCTTGATGAACTTTCATAATCCTCCATACTTGAGGACCGCAAATCATCCTGTTTTAACTGGTGTCGTAAAAACGCAACCTTTCAGGAAACCGTATACTTGTCTGTCATCACTTATCATTTGACAATCACAAAAAGGGTGCTTTTACTGAGCTATTCACGCGATCACCAAACTACATACCACTTCAATAAACAGGATTTATAACTAAAGAGCAACTGGAAAAAACGAGGATTTACTATTTTGATGTAATATCTGCTTAAAATGTATCCCAATTTTTTCTTTGATTTAATTCATCAACTTTCTATACATGATTAAAAGCACGAGCGAAATGCAATTAATTTGTGCGAATGCCACATAAATGACTACGTTCCATGTGACATTAAAAGTATTGACGCTCTTGAGAGCATTCACGCTCGCCTACAAATGGTAAGAACAAAGTAACGTAATCCACAGTTCAGGAGATGACTTCAGTAACAAACTTATTAGAGAAGGTACTTGGGTACTTTTAGGAAGATCAAATGATGTTTCTCTTATGAAACACACAGAGGGAGAATTCAAGGTAGGTATCAAATTTACAAGTTTTTGGTTGTTTATTTCTGAATATCTGTTAATTGAGTTCCAGATAAACGTCAGTTGTGTTAAACATCTTTAAAAAGGCACGGAATCAAATTATCACAAACAATCCCAGTATTTTAAGGCAACCATTACAAATTGCTGAAATATACCTTTACGTGTTTATCTCTTACATGTAGATGCACGAGCATTTAACAGCCACTGATGAGCCTTTTATGTCAATAAAATGTTGCTTTGTTTGTGGAATTGTCATCCGTAATGCAGTTGTAATAAATACCTACACTTTATGTATGCTATTACCTTTATTCCAATGAGGTCAACTGAATCATAAGCTGGAGATTTGTAATCCTTTTTGGTCAACGGTCAGTTGCAAACTCTTCACCACCCTTCAATATTGGCTTGTGCTTAGTGCCGGAGAGCTCGATGGCTACTCAGTTTTATGTAGTAGAATTTCTGTCGGAAGAAGAGAAATGTAGAGGGCCATATCTTGTGCCAGCAAACAAAGTTAAAGAGGAAAACGGAACCACACAAGTTCTGTGGAGTGTTGTTGATGAACTTATGGGTAGCATTATGGAGGTATACTATGAAGCAACATGCCCCAAGCAAGGTACGAAGAAGGATGCAGTGATTTCTTTGACCTTCTAAAGAAAAACAGAGAGCACGCAGACATTAGCAACAAATGGGGAGTAAGGATCCACAGGAAACCAGCAAAACTCGACGATTATGAGTTTGAAGGTCTCGCCGAGTGCTCAACCTCTGGAAAACCACCGACCAAGAAGGCAAAGAAAGCAACAATAGAAACCCCATTTAACACTTGTACTAACGAACGCATTGAGGACTCGGAACCTTTTGATCCTGAAACAGAAAGGAAAGCAGTTATGAAGAAGTGGACCAAAGAGGTGCTCTCAAAAAGCGAGAAGCCAAAGACCAATGGTTTTTCCTGCCAAAACTCAAAAAGTAAGAAGCCACCAAGGGAAGATTCTTGAAAGCAGCAAAGATCACAGGAAGAGAAGATCAACTCATCACAAAAAAAAGCGAGATATGAAACTGCCGAAACCCAGTTGAACGACATTGGGAAATTGATGCAGAAAGGGATGAAGCTGCTCGTACACTGGGGATGAACCGGCAGATATATCAATTTCTGTATCACCAGAAACGACATCCAAGGGATTGAAACGCAAAATTTCTCAGACCACCAGAATACCGCCCAGGAATCAGCTCCTGATTTTGAAGGGGAAAGAGTGGTTGATGGAGGAGCAGGAAAAGATTTCCCAGTGCTGGATGACTGATGACTTGGAGGCCATCTTTGAAAGGAAAGATTTTTCAAGCGGTGAGTCTGTGGAACCTTCGAAATTTGAGTGCATAAAGTATAAAATAATTACTCGTTTTTTTGGTCATTGATCCTCATAAAAACTGGTTTGCAATTATAGGCAATTCAGGGAGCGAGTGCTAATATGATAAAATTTGGACAGTCTGTGAATAATCAAAGATAGGAATTTTGGACATAAATAACAAAGGAATCATTTGCCTTAAGTTGCAGATACAACTCCTGAGTTCAGCGCTAGCTCAACAGACATAAGTTCGGTTAACGTGGCTGATGATGTCGAGAAAGGAGGCTCTGGAGACAAGGATATTGACCTTTATTCACCTAAAACACAAGGTAAGTGTCTAGCATTGGCTACGGGTTTTTATTGTATTACTTTTTTTGTAGGGTTTTTATGTTTGTTTCTTCGGTTACTTGTTTGTATGAAAGGCGTTTTGAACCGGCACGCTCTTAAATTGTGCTAAAATAAGGATACCTGCAAATGCTTTTACTTTTACTATAAAGTAAGTGAGCAAATATCAGGTTGTCAAGCTTGAGATAAATTCTCTGTTTTTTCCTGTAACTTCCAACTGCTGCTTTTTCTAAATCGGTATATTATTCAAACACTTTTTCTTCTTTCTTCGGTAAAATACAAGCAACGATTTGTTATCGTAGGTGTTTACATCAATTGAAGGCCAACTCTTCCTGATAAAATTCTAAAAGCCCTTATTAAGATGTTGTAAAGCAAACGAATTTCTCATTTTAAAAGATGAATCCACGCTTAATCGGTAAAACAAAATAAGTCAAGTAAATTTTAAGTATAAATTATCACCATTTCTTGTTGTCAAGAGCCAGGTTTAGAAATTTAATTATGCAGATACATAAGCCAGTGAACCTTTGTTCACACATTTGCTGGCAACAAGTCATGGACTTAAGACGTAAACAGTTGACGTGGTTTTCAGAAAAGCTAAGCTTAGCTGGCCCCGTGCATCGTACTAAGTAGGCTACTGTCTATGCGAGAAATGGTAAAACAAAGTCCACAACGGATTTAAAAAAATTGATGAAATGTAATTTGCTTGGGGATTAGTCATTTTACACGTATATTAAACTTTGTGAGTCCGGCCCAGGAGCTGCAACTGCCGCATACATACGTTCCGTCTAACTGAACTGTGTAAATTGGCTTAGCATTCGGATGTTATCCAGGCTGACTCAATGGTAAAGAGACGCTTCGATCACGCACTTAAACAATATTGTTTTCCGTGCAGTGGACTGACAGTCTGTGAATATAATTTCGTGTCAAAAATAATTGGCTGCTGGCACTGACGTGTGAACATTACCGTGACGATTCGATTTAGCGCCCGGGGTGCTTATTTACTTTTGGTACCTCAAGGGAGGGCGCTTATTCGAGACAGGGCGCTTATTCGGGACAGGGCGCTTATTTAATTGTTTGAGAAACAACCTAATGTTCAAAACAAAACTTTAATAAATATTAAAATAACTAACAATAACAGAAACCGTAACAGTAACAAAATAATTGTTGAAAGTTCAGTTACTTTAAAAAGAATTGTTCATTTTAGCAGTAACAAATATACATGTACGATACGGTGAATGTTCACGAGTTAATCTATGGTAACTAACAATAACAGAAACTTGCTTTTAAAAGAATGGTTTATTTTAGCAGTAATAAATGGTATACATGTACGGTACGGTGAATGTTTATGAGTTTATCTATTTGACGTCGATGACTTCAGTGTCACTTGCGTCAATTATCAAGCTATCTGGTGCCGCATCTTCAACGTCGGATTCTGTGATCCCGTCGAAAGGATCTTTGTCGCGTGAATTGCTCATGGCTTGTTGGACAACCTTGAGCCGTTCTGGCCCTACACGGCAAGGCTGATTTTCCTTGAAGCAGTGAATGTGTCCGTCCTCTGATCCATCCACTGCAACGGTTAGCACACGGCTCTTGAATGAATCGATTATCATTCTTTTGTCCAAGCCATCTCACGCTGCAAGGATCCACTTAACTATCTCTCTCTGGGGTGGAGCACGAATGTTTCCTGCTGCAGGGAAAGAGTGGGCTTCACCAGCCATCCATTCATCATACTTCTCTGTGACATTTACTTTAAATGGCTTATTCCAAACCACGTCGGGCGCTTGGATGTATTTCGTTCAACCCCCTGGGATGATCAAAGGATCTATCTTTGATGTCCCTAGTTCTTGTTTGACTGTTTCCATCACGTGGCACTTGAACGAATCCCACGCCAAGATTCGTCGGGTGAATGAAAACTTCCCCAGAACACTTCTTACCCAGTCAAGGGTCAGTTCTTCGTTCATCCACCCGTTAGAAGATGATGCTACAACACATTTAGCCTTGAATTCTTCATTGAGTACTTTGGTTTCTCTCTTAGCACCGGGAAAGACGATAAAAGGCTTCAATTTCGTTCCATCTGCTTTCGCTGCTAAGCAAACTGAAACCTTTGTCTTCTCGTGACCAGTTGTTTTCATGGCTATCGTGTTGTGGCCGATGGAATCAACAGTTGTATTTGAAAGCATGTCTTGCCAAACGGCTGTTTCGTCCATTGCTATTATGTCACTGTCACTGTAGGAGAACTTGCTTGTAACACATATGTGATCAGTTTGTCAATTAGTTTTTCGGGATCCTTTTGGGATTCTGTTGTCTTGCGCCGTATACATAACCCATGTCTGGTCATGAACTTCTGTACCCACCCAATGCTTGCCGTGAATGTTGGAGGAAGTTCCATTTCCTTGGATTTCTCCTCGTGGAGAAACCTCGCTTTGCTTCTGATCATTTTCCTTCATACACGAAAACCATTAAAGCGTCGTTCGTGGACCCATTCCAATAAGACTTCTTCAATATCCAGATCAAAAGGCTTTCTTCCCGCGCCGTCGAGTCGCTTTCGCTTGCAACTAGCAGATTCTAATTTACTCTGGTTTGCTCGCCACTCTCGTATTCTCTTCCGGTCGACGTTGAACTTCTTCGCTGCTTTATAGTTACTATTGCATTTAACGGCAAACCGTACGGCTTCTAGTTTAAATTCTGTTGAATAAGAATTGATCTTTTTGCCAGCATGAGACTGAGAAGTATCAGCCTCCATGTTTTAGCGCAAAGTGATCACTGTACACAGCTGGATACGTGTAAGAATGAGTTTAGGGTTTCAAGTGAAGGTGCCTGCTCGGAGCTGTTAATGATTCATCGTAAGTAAGAACAATGCAAACGATATAAATTATGAGACAGAAGCGGGAAGCAACACGAGCAGAAATTACCTGTGGTAAATATTTACGATTATGGCTCGTTCTCGCTATCACTTGATTTGGAATTTGATGTTTATTTATGAGGTAGAATTTTCGTCCGTTATAGGAGGTCATCATGTTTTCAAAGCAGCGTGGTCTCCAATCATAGGAGAGTCTGTAGCATGCAGGAAAGATGACCGTAAAGAAGCTAAAGAGCACGATTATATTCACATTTCTCAAAGCCCGCCATGAGAACAATGTACATGTCAAAGTGACTGGAGCAAGGAGACTGGAAAACGGACTTGTTGTCCCTGGATCCTTTCTGGCCAGAACGACCAGCAGAGCAATCGCCACAAAATTTGAAGAAATTATTCGTTTGAAGGAATTATGTACTCACATGGACATTACAGTGGAGAAACTCAGACGAAGACCACTGTTTTTGTAATACATTATTTCGTATGTCAGCTATTAAAGGAAGATAAACCACGTTTGATACGTACTCTGAAGGCGCTGTAATAATATTAGAATAGGGGGCGCTTATTAACAAAAAACACATTCGAAGGGGGCGCTTATTTGGAAGGGGGCGCTTATTGGAAGGAGGGCGCTAAATCGAATCATTACGGTACTTGTGCTGACATTTGAACCGAAGGCTTCTGGTACTGAGTACGTAAATTATAACCACTCCTTTAATAGCCCCGCTACAAAACTAGAAAGAATTCGTATTTTATACTTATACCTAATAGGAAATTCTTTGCATAGACGTAATTACTTCAAGTCTCAAGTTGAGGAGTTTGTGTTTCCTACCGGTGACTATTATTTTCAAAATAAACATGATTAATGTAACTGGGACGTTTTTTGATGTTGAAAATCAGTGAGCCAACATTAAACCTTAACTCCTACAACTTGTGGCGAAGCAGAAAAGACGTTTTAAATAACAGGGCTCATTCTGGACATTCGTCATTTCAATGACTCATAATGCACCTTAGAAAGATTAGGCCGGGCTTTGATATGATCAATAATTCAGCGTCTCAACATAACATCAACATTACACCCTTAGCGATTGTTTAGTTTAAAGTTATTGAAAAGATCATTCAGATATGTTTAGTCACGTAATCATAGACGAGATAATTGAGAGGTTATTAACATGATGTAGAACAGCAAAAAACTGCTGTTTTCAACCGTTTTGCATTTTAACTTAAAAATATTTCAATTTACAGTGAGTAAGAAATTTTGATCCTTCCTCTATTTCTTCTTAATTGATTTAAGGATTATAGGAATTATATCAAGTAAGCAAAATCGGAATAAATAAGGTTTGCAGTTTGGTGTTACAGCAAACATCATGCTTAACCCACCAAAACTGAAATAATTTAAATAAAAATAATTCTTATTTAATATAAGTATTCGAATATTAACCTTAAAAGCTGACGTTTTGGTATCATCATGACACCATTCTCAAGGCAAAATGGATAAATAAATAAATGAATAAATAATGTGAAGAATATAAGTATTGGCAAGTTTATTCTTTACACTTATATGGCAAAAATCTCAAAACCTTTTAAAACACATGATTCTGTGTTTCCTTTTAAAGCAGATGTCTATAGTTTCTGGCTAACTACAACAGCTGAGTGATACTGTGGCAAAATTTGTGAAATGTAAATTTTGTCAAAAAATTCTACAAATCCCTGGATGATAACGACGTTAGCCTTGAGGACCTTGCAACCAGACGGAAAAAAGCGGAAGAATATCGTGCCACTCAAGCCACCCATCCAGCCTCAACGCCAATGCCAATGCCGGTCTCCTCTTCAACGCCTCTAGCCCAAAAAAATGAAAAAGTTATTTCCATCCAGAAGAGCACTGATAAAAAAGTTGACAATTCCGATGTCACTATACTGGTTGGCTCCGCAAGCAGGGGAATATATCTCTCCAAAAAGAAAGTTGACCTTCTTTCCAGGAGCAGCCCCAAACTCTTTGCCCTTAAATTGTTTGAATTAGTGTTTCGGCGTGAAGAGGCAAAAGAAGGGAGTGTTGAGGGTAAAGGAGAGAAACTTCACCCAAACCGACTGGCTGCAGTAAGAGAGCACACAGAAAGGATGTTCCCCAATGAAGTCAACTGGCCTACAATTAAGAAAGCGATTGACGAAAAGTGCAGAATGGTGCGCAACAACAGATGTACTCTTTGGGCAGGGATAAAAGAACACCATAAGGATTGAACCGTTGAGGTACTGAACTGTAATTAAAAACGCTGTCCTGAGAGATGAACTTAGAAAATTTTACAATATGTTATGACTGTTGAAGGGCTGTGGTTTAAAAACGACGGCGTTGAGTAACAAATACGAATTCAACCAGAATTAAACCCTAATATAAGTGCTCATTATCGCATTTCCTTATGTCATTTATTATAGTTTTAGTTATTTATTATAACCGTTAAAGCTGGCATATCATACACCATTACACAAAACTAAAAAATATTATTGTAAGTTAGATTATCGTTTATTATTAACTAAATATAGTAGAGATTTGATGATGACTAATATTTTGTCTTTTTTTTTAACTCGTGTTATTAGGGGCATTGCTAGCGTGAAGGTAACGTGCTCATTCCAAGAGGCATTAAGGCGTGATCATAACTCCCGTGCCCGCGATCATGCCTTCAATTTCTGTAATTTCTGATCACAATATTTTTTGTGATCACACGATCATCACGGCATGACCACGCGTGAAAAGTTTTTACCCGTGATCACGGAGTGATCATGGTCTGTGATCATGCCGTGATCATGCGTTTATTTTTACAGGGGATGGTACTTAAAGCAAATTTAGGCTACCAAGGTTCATTAAATAGGTTCTTATATTTTCATATGAATTTCATTTATTGATATTTTGCCATTATTTATTTCATCGGGATATATTTTTGTTTTATATTTAATATTTTGTAATTCTCACAGAGATGGTCAGAAAGCTTTCTTTGATAGATATTAGTAGAGTTTTATACTTGCAAATACTTAAGGAATTATTTGAATGCTAAACACAATAGATATAAAACACAGTACTTTAGCTAAAAAGAAAAAATGTTATGTCAAGTTTAAATATAATTAGATGATCTCAATTCAGCAGTTTCTACCTGTACACGTTTACAGCAACTCCACTGATAAGAACATAGTTTAAAATGTTAGCCTTAATAGGATCTTATATATGCGAAGGGGACTTAAAATGAAAATTTTAGTGTAACGGGTTCTTAAAACCCAGGTTCTTACACGCAGGTTTTTACTGTATTTTCACAATTTTGCAATACAAATTGCTTTCATTCAATACTCAGGACAATTGAAGCACGCACACTTTTAGCAAAAGCGTTCAAAAAATGTCCATAATCACCTAAACAGCCAGCCGGTTCTGAGTTTTGACAAGCGCCAAGAATTTGCAGTATGAGCTTTCGTCTGTTTGAATGAACATTAACAGAGTTACACTTGAACATAATAAAGAATATGTTTATTTTTTATTCAACAGTTTTACACGCTTTATAATGTGTAATCTTCAAAAGCGTTTGATACACAGAGCATTTAGAGTACTCCCGCAAGTGAGGTTCATGAACGAGCGAAAACAAATGGCACAGAGATTAAAATCACAAGAGAGACTACTAACAATCAATAAACAAAATATTAAATTCGGTGAAACATATACAGAGACAACAATTTTCATTCACGAAGAGAAGTATTAAGTGTCTCTAAAAATCCTGAGTCTTCAAGCTTAAAGCTTAAGTTTATGTTTACATGTAAAGCCGGCTTCCCGATGTTTGCTTTTTTCAAAGATGAACTCGAGGCAAGAAAATCGCTCAAAGCGTTCTTTTACAGCCAGGATTATAACTAAATAGTCTTTGGAACGTTTTCATTCTATTTGCGGTGAAAAAATCTCTAAAGCCTTTTTAAAGTTCTGTATTAAGCTTATATCAAACCTGTTACTCGGTCAGATCATGTCTCAAACCTTACAATCGTCAGTGCATGAACTAAATAGCCACATAAACTACGCCCGACTTCATTAAATTAGATATATAATTAAAAACAGTCAAATAGAATAATTACTGAGGCTTACCATTGGAGATGCGGCTCTTGAAAGCTGACAAGTAAGGCTGTAATTGCTTCAGACGCATCAAGCAAGGTGAAAAACGAAAACGATGCCATCCGAAATCGGTTTTCTGGCTTTGACAAGCGACGCTTTCCTCAACCAAAAACCCAAAAAACAAACTAGCCATGAATAACAGAAGACTCTTGATAGCAGCTGAATTTCATTTTGTACATCCAGTGGAAAAAGACAGTTAAGAGTGGCCATCTGTAGATATTGACAATTTGCCATCAAAACCGAAATTTCTAAATTCTTCATACTCGATCAGAAAAAGCCATTTGGTAAAACATTTTCGAAAACTTTAATCAAAGTTTCCAAAAAAATTTCCTTTTGGAGAAATTGGGCAAAACGTGAAATCCCCTGTCAGCGTCACAGCCGCCATAGAAAACTACTGCGAATTAGCAGTTTTTCAAGTCACTGGTTAAAATAGACGCGTCAACGTAACAATATAATCTTTTGCAGATGAGTGTGGTATTACAAGAACTCGAAAATGTAAAAATATCTCAAAAGAACTTTTTTCTCACATTGTTTTTGAAGCGCCGAGATTCCTTGTCTTTGCCAAGACGAACACTGAAAATTGAGGAAACTTTGAAGGTAAAATTCGTAGCTTGGAACATGGAAATTCCTTATAAATTTTGCGTTACGAAAAAGCTCTAATGTTGTTTTAAAACGTATAAAAAATCTGGCTTGGGCTATTTAAAAGCCTCTGCTTGAGAGAGGTAAACGCATAGATGTTATGACTAATGTTATATTTGGTGGTGCATATATGAAGGATTATACCTCGTGACCACCACAATAAGTGGGCCCAAGCCCTTGATTATATATGCTCGCACGTTTGTAATAAAATACACTTTTCTTGCCGGTTTATATACAATGTTGATGTGAGTCTTAACATTGGCGACGAGGATCGAAAGTAATGGAGGAAAATGGTGAAGCAGCGGCGGCGATCCAAGAAAAACAGGTTGCTGGACCGGCAGTTCAAGCAATTCGAGTTGTAACAGAGACGAGAAACCTCCACACACAGCCGTTTGCAATCCCAGATGAAATGAACGCCGTGGGGAAAGCTTGGCAGGAATGGCTGGAAGGTATTGAAAGGGAATTCAGATTCTTTAAGATTTCAGAGGCGGTGGACAAGAAGGATGCGAAGATTATTTACGGAGGAAATCAGATAGCCCGCTTGGAAAAGAGTTTACCTGATCCAGAGACAGGCGACGTGTACACAAAACTGCGTACGAAGTTGAATGGCCATTTTACCCCGAAGAAGAATAAACATGACGCCCACTATTTATTCTTGAAGATGAGGCTACACGTGGGCGAGACTATAAGTGCGTATGCCGCAAGATTGAGAGAAAAAGCAAAAGAGTGCGAATTTGGAGATACATTTGACGAAAGAATCCTCGAACATATTATTCAGACCATTGATAACAAGAAATTAATCGAGAGGGCCATTAGCAAGACATGGGACCTCACAAGATTCCTTACCGAAGCAAGCCAGACCGAAGATATTGTGCGCCAAATACAAGATATGGGGACGGAACAGGTTGACCGTGCTGGTCGCGTGCAGTCCGTACCGGCCATAAGTGGACCTCAACATCAGATGAAACCGTGGAAATGTGGTTTGTGTGGATTAATCGGTGTGCATGTGAAAGGAAAAGATTTCCCCGCATTTGGAAAGAAGTGTAATAAATGTCACAAATGGAATCACTTCGCAGTTGTGTGTAAATCCCAGAGTAGCAGATTTAGAAAACAGAAACCAGGCAAAGGTAAAGTCAAAAGAAGAATAAAGAAGAAAACAGAAGCGGGAGAATCCACAAGTTCTGATGATGAATTCTTTGGACAAGCAGCAGAGCACTTATCGGTTCGCTTTTTTCAATTTGTCTAGCCTCCTCACCCATGATGGTCGTCCACACAATTTCACTTTAACTTACTACACCTACACGTCTACCTTCGCCTATCACCACGTCTTGTTAACATTATGGATGAGCATCAATTTAAGGCATTTGTACATAGGTCGAGGGATAAACCAGTTCTTCAACCAAGCAACGTGAAATTGTACACCCTGTAACACAAACTTGATGTTAAGGGAGAATTTCGTGCAACAATACGCAATGACACTTGTGGTAGACTGGTGACGTTTGTTGTGGTATTCGGGAGAATTAAATCCCCTCCGCTCATTGGCAAGGAAACTTTAATACGACTAGGGATGCTGAAGATCCAACCAAATGGTAGTCTCGCAGAACCCAATTCACTCGGGATATCCAGTGATGGTTGTGCAGCTAATACTGTTAAGGACACTGGAATGCAGGAAATGGAAGACTTTGTGGCAAAGTACAGTCACTTGTTTGAGGGCATTGGAAAGATGGAAGACAAGAAACGTGGAAAGGAGATCTTAGGGCGTTTCCATATGAAGGCCAGTGCAATACCAGTGGCTCAGAAACCCAGATCAGTACCATATTATCTTCAAGAACCACTCAAGAAATGGCTAGACCAAGGATTAACAGGGGACATTTTCGAAAAAGTTCCTGATGATGAGCCAATCACGTGGTGTTCTCCAGTAGTAGTGCAGTTAAAGCCCAAATTTGCAGAGGTACCACCAGAGAAACTGGAACCAAATATGATCAGAGCTAGTGTTGATTTAAGAGTCCCAAACCAGTATATGGAACGCAGTCGAATTGCACAAGCACCAGTGTTGGAAGATTTTACTCACAAGTTCCATGACTGTTCCATTTGGACCAAATTAGACCTTCGCCAAGGTTATCACCAATTAATGTTACATCCAGAGTCAAGATCAGTCGCTACATTTTATACTCCTTGGGGCAACTTCAGGCCTAAAAGATTGGTCTTCGGCGCAAAGGCTTCTCAAGACATGTTTGATGTTGCGATGTCACGGATCTTTGGAGACATTCCTCAGTGCCTCAACCAGAGGGATGACATCCTGATTGGGGCGCGTAATTGGAAGGAGCACAATGAAACACTAGGTTCAGTATTCCAAAGAGCTGAAGATTATGGGATAACCTTTAACAAGCCCAAGTGCCATTTTGGTCAGTCCCAGATTACATTTTATGGT